GCCGCGCACCCGGAAGTGCAGCCTCCACCCGGAAGCTGCCGGCCCCGTTACCTAGCAACGCCCGGAAGCGGCCACCTGCGCTTCCGGCCGGCGCCGCCGGCTGCGCGAAGAGGCGCGGGAAGGGCGAGGGGCGGGCAAGGCTGGGCGGACGCTGCTCTGATTGAGCGAGATGGCTGTCAATCTGTCAATCGTCTGGGCGCGCCCTGTGCCGATTGGACGATGCGGCTGTCAATCTTAGCTGTGGGCCCCGCCCCTCAGTGGGGCTGAGCGAGGGTCGTTGTCATGGCGGGGTCGGCGCCCGTCTCTTGCTGCAGCCCACCCGAGTCCCGCACACCGGGCCGTGGCTCAGGGCTCGCGGAGGAGTTCACAGAATCAGTTATTGTGGAAAAGATCTCCGCGATCATCCCGAGTCCAGCCCGTGACCCAGCAGTACCGTGGCACCAAATGCCATACCGGGTCATTCCTTAAACAGCTGCAGGGACGCTGACACCATCATCTCCTTGGGCAGCCCGTTCCCATGTCCAGTCACCCTTTCTGTGAAGAAATTCATCCTTATGTCCTACCTAAAACCTCCCGAGTTTGACCCTGGGTGGGTGTCTGCCCTCCCTGCACCTTGCCGTGATGTGGAGCCTGAACCCACTTGCCGGGGAAGATGGCACAAAGCAAAAAGGTTGGCTTGGAGACGCCTTCCTGGTTTCTACAACTCTGCCCTGGGTTAATTTGCCTCGTGATGTGAATGGAAGTGTTTTAAGACCAACTTGGACAGGTTTTGGAAGGTGTCCCCATCCATGTCAGGGGTGGAATGAGATGATCTTTCATGTCCCTTTCAGCCCAAACCACTGTAGGATTCTGTGGTTCTGTGAATACCCTGTTAGTGCATCTCGCCAGAGGGCACTTTCTGGGATCAAATATTTAGGAATATTGCTGCCTGCCCTTTACCAGGGGCTGTTGCTGTCCCACACGCTCCTGGTACAGCCAGCAGCGGGGTACAGCATTCTGTGGTTCACAGGGAATTAAATCTCCCATTGCTCGTGTGTGTAAAATATTCATGGATGGGATGGGACTCTGAAGTGCATTAATGAGGACAGCGCAATAATGGCAAAGGATTTGTCACACAAATTGACTTTTATTGAGGCTCCAGCGATTACACCTTGAGCAGCAGAACTAGACCAAATCCGCGGGTTGTAATGGGGTGAGGAGACCTAGAAAGCAGAAATACAGAAAAGGAAACAGGGCAGGCAGGGAAGGGCAGGTTTGCTCATTACGTAACAGAGGAGTTTGCTGTCAGTGACAGCGGTGCACTGCGGGATTACACAGGCAGAGAGCTGAGTGAAAAACAGGGAAAGGAAAAATCCGACCACCCTTAGATTAAACACTCCACTCAGTAAGAGGGTGAGGAACTGCAGCTCGGAGAAGACAACGCAAGCAGTGAGTGAGGGTGTGAGGTCAGACAGCAAACAACCTCTCCGAGCCTGGGGACAGGCACATGAGGAAACCAGAGAGCCACGTGTGTGCAGGTGGCTGAGTCAGACATCACTGAGAAGTGCAGCTACACACCACAGGAAAAGTCCCAGCACCGTGTCCGGGGAGCTTCCTGCGACGTGAGGGCAGAACTGAGAACTGGATGCCAGCAAAATGGGACTCAGAGCCATCAGGGAGACAGGGATGAAACTGGGGGTGGGTATTTGAGTTTGGGGTGAGCAGCAGGAAGATGTTGATAGCTGGTGATGTGGCAGGACTTGTGATATATAGAAAAAAAATCTTCCCTGTGATGCTGGGGAGGCCCTGGCACAGGGTGCCCAGAGAAGTTGCAGCTGCCCCATCCCTGGAAGTGTTCAGGGCCAGGTTGGACAGGGCTTGGAGCAACCTGGGATAGTGGAAGGTGTCCCTGCCCATGGCAGTGGGCTTGAAGCAAGATGATCTTTAAGGTTCCTTCCAACCCAGTGCATTCTGTGATTCTATATTTTGTGCCACCTCATGCAGTTCCCTGTGCTGTATACCATCCTCACCCTCTCTCCCTCTCTTTAGAGGGACTTTCCTGGCTGTGAGATGTATCAGCACCTATCAAAGCAGTATTTTGAAATAGTTCCTCTTACACTGCTGTGGGAAATTATTCACATGGTATCACTTATTGATACTGAATGGGGTTTTTTTGGCAGATGCAGGCCAGGAGGAGATTGGTGAGTGACATGAACCTCTTTCCTCTGCAGTGTCCATGCTTTGAACTGAAGGATTAGAGGTGACAACAGGCTCTTTGTAATTTCATCCTGTCACTTTGAATCACACCGGGACCCTTATCAGCAGATCCTTTTTTCAGACAACACACGGCATATTACCCTCAATGGCATTTCCTTTTCAAAACAGCATTCTGTGCTTTGATCAATGTGTAAAGGACAGATGAGAGTTGGGTGCAGTCTGATTTGATCTACCAGCCTGGGATATGAGAAAAAGGAAGGCATTTGCATAATACATCGCTCTGGTTACACGAGTCAGGGGCTGGTGTGGTCTACAAACATTCTAGATACAGAAGTGGTAATATTTATGAGGGCAACCTTGAAACCAGATTAGAGAGACACATAATCCCGGTAGGTTTCATATACTGAAGTCTCCAAATTTAAACTGAACAAAAGGTTCAGTTCTTTGCACAGTCTGTTAGTGACCAGCAGCCACTAAAAGGGTGTGTAAAATTCTCAGTTCTGAGGAAAGGTGCCATCTGAAGCTAACTGGGACTTGGATTTGGTTCACTTCTAGTTCACAGCCCTGGCCTGGATTTGAAAGAGCCATTAACCTGGCCTTTGCAAGCTCTCCCTGTGTTCTGTATAAATAACCCTTGGATATCCTTAGCTCAAACCCCTCCAGGGCCCATCAAGAGGCATTTACTTCTCCTTCCCCCTGCAGTGTGTCAGCTCCTGCCACGTGTCCAGCGATAAGGGGACCTGGAGGTGAAATGCCACGATGAGCATCCTACAGAGAAGCTCAAGATGTATCAGCATCTATCAAGCACAGCCTGAAACAGGTGCAGCACAGCAGAGGGTTTGGGCTGTCCCCAAGCAGGGCAGGCAGGAGGACAACCCAAATCCTGGAGTTCTCACTGTCCTGAGGGGGTTTTGCCACCCAGATACAGCTGTGTCTGCGCTGGAATAAGAAAGAAGAGCTGTGAATAGCTCCTGGGTCCCAGTGGGGTGTGCAGGAGCTGTGCCCATGGTCAGCGCTTGGAAACAGGCACAGGGCCATGGGAATCCACGGGAATTCATCCCTGCAGGAAGTTCTCATCCATATATAGCACTTCCTTCCCTGGCAGCGGCTGCATGCGGTGCCATTCTCCCATGGCACTGCTGGAGAGGAACTGGGAGCAGTGGGCAGAGGGGTCAGGGCTTCCCAGGAGATCCTCTCTCACATCCTGCGTGATGAGGGCTGGGACACGGGACCTTTCTAGCAAACATCTTCACACCTGTTTTGCTGTGTTGAAGTAAGAAGTTAGAAACCTATGTGAGAGTTCTGATCCTCTCTGAACAGGGCTGGGAGGAACCTTGGTGCATTGCTTGGGCTGGTTCCTGCCCCAAAACAGGATCAGTACTATTGAAAACTTTCCATACAAAGCATGTTTACTGTTTTTTTAAATTTTTTTTAAAGCCTCAGACTTAAAAGAGGAGAGCTCTCACTCTCCTTAAACAACCTTTTTTAGGATTTGACCATTTTTAACCCTAGAAAATGTCCCTGAATTGTTCTTGTTACAGTGTTGAGCTGGCAATAATTTGTTTTTATCCCTACTGGTAAAAGAAATATATTCCCTTTCTGTTTGTGGCAGCCTTTTATGTATTTGGAAATGGTTATTGTGTCCCCACAGCCCTGCAGAGACTTTCCCCAGGCTAAACACAGATAGGTCCTGCAGTCCTACAAAGCCTGGAACAGCCCGGGCTGTTCCCAAGTCCCCACTGGAGTCTCTCCCCCAGGCCTCACCTTTCTCAAAACACAATACCTGTGGATTTTTATATGCCTCAATGGGATGTTTGCCTGTTCCACAGCGGCATCACCAATTGACTCTTTGATCCACTCTACACCAGATCTTTATCTGTAGAAGGCCTGGCTAGCCAGCAGGCTCCTATCTCGAATTGCCACGGATCATTATCACATTTGTCTGCATGGACTTGCACCCTACATATTGCCAATCCTTTTTCCATTTTGTTGAGGTCATTCTGACTTTGAATCCTGGCCTCCAGAGTGCTCACGGCTCTTCCCAGACTGGTCCCACTTGCCAAAGACATAAACATAATTTTTATTCCTGGATTTGGGTTGTTAATAATAATTTATGAGTGCTTGCAGGACCAGGGCCCAGGTGGAATGGGAGAATCACAGAGTTTGGGAAAGACCTCCAAGATCACCAAGTCCAACCATTGACCCAGCACTGTTCACCATGAAGCAAGCATCCCCAAGTGCCACATCTGCATGGTTTTTGAACATTTCCTGGAATGGTGATTCCACCATTTCTCTGGGTCTGGTCCAATGCCTGACCACCCTTTGGGTGAAGAAATTTTTCCCAATCTACCCACCCACACCTTGGATAAATTGAGGGTATTTCCTGTTGTCCTATCTCTTGTTACATGGGGGTAAAGGCTGACCCTCACCTGGACACGATCTCCTTCTGGGTGTAGAGTAATAGAGCTCCCCCTGAGCCTCCTTTTCTCCAGGCTGAGCCTCCCCAGCCTCTCCAGCCCCTTTCCCAGCTCCACTGCCCTTCTCTGGACACGCTCCAGGCCCTCAATGCCTTTCTTGTCGTGAGGGGCCCCAAACCGAATGCAGTTTTCAAGGTGTGACCTCACCAGTGCCCAGCACACAGGGACGATCCTGCCCTGGTCCTGCGGGCCACACTATTGCTGATCCAATCCAGGATGCCCTTGGCCTTCCTGGCCAGCGTGGGAGACAAATAATGGATGTTCTGCCGGGGGCCCCCGTGGCGCGGTCCCAGCGCTGTCTGGGGTTTAGCGGGGCGGCCAGAGAGGGGAAGGGAGCGGTGCGGGGGCAGCGCCTTTGTCCGCGGGCGGGCGGGC